TTTTATTATCCTGTGTTGACATCCCATAGACGGATGGACTAATCATCACTACCAGAAGCTAATATATTTCCATCAGGAGAGAAACAGACTGACTAGACATAACTAGTACGACCATCCAATTAATATAAATCGTTTATTCTTAATTACATCCAAATAATTTAGCTCCATTTAAATGAATTCCATTGATATTCACATTTTTTAATTAAGATTTAGATAAATTGCATTTAGCAAAATTACCCCCGTATAAATTAGTATTTTCAACTCTTATATTTCCAAAATTTTAGTTTTTTAGATCAACTTTCATTTCAACCAAATATTAAGTGCATTAGATCCACTTATAATAAAATTTTTATCAATTTTGGTAAGATGTACTAAGAATTTCAAATATTCAATTATTTTAGCCTCTTGTAATATTTTTTAAATGAGGTATTATCTAGTTTGAGTATATATTTCCGTCAAATAATTAATAGAATTAAAATCATGCTTTTTATGATTTGATTAAACGAGTAATTTAATCAATAGTCTGCATCTAATTATTTTTTTTTTTACAAAAGTGATGAATTTCTAATTTAATTATGATTCTAGGCATAGTTTTGCTTGAGAATTTTGAGAAACTCTAAGCAATCCTAATTTTGATTCTGTTCTTTTGCCAACATTTCTAATATAATATTCAATATTTATGTATCAAAATCTTTTGATTGAACTAAAACTTAATATAAATCAGCTGCAATCAAAAACTCTTATATAGATTTATGGGTAAATTTAAAAATTAGCTCCTTTTTATTAGACAAGTGAGAAACTTCGTATATCTTTTTTATAAGCTCCGTTTTAATCATCATAATTAAAAAATTCTCTTAGTAATTGTTCTTCTGCTCTTTAATTTTAATATAAAAGTCCTTGCTATTTATATTAAACTTATGTCAGTTCATTCTTACTCATTGATTTTGCAAATCTAATTGAGTATTCTAATAGATCATGCAGAAAACAATCAGTATCTATTGATTTTCCAAAGTTTCTCTATTTTTCGATTTATTTCAAGTGGTAATAATTGATAAACTCACAATAAAAGTCATAAATCGTAAGATTGTATTCGTTAATGCATCATTGACAAATTAGATTATTTCTTCTTATTAAATTTTTATTTTCTTTAATATCTAATTTGGTAGCAAAAGATTAGTTTCAAATATTTTTTAAAGTTATTTATGCATTCCTTCAGATTCTTAAGA